TTAATCACTCAAATACTTATAATTCTTAACTTTCAACTACAATCAGAACCAAAATTACTAATAATAAAATAAATAAACGCACAACATTATTTATAAATCAACTTTTATTTACAAACTCTAAAATTTATATACAAAAATAAATAAAAAATTAAAAATATATAAATTGCAAAAATTTACCAATAACTAACTTCTGAACTTTAAAAGAATATTCATGATAAAATTTTACTTATAATGCTTACCTTTTACATTTAAATAAAAAGTTTATAATATATATAATTTAAATTTCTAAACAAAAAGATCCCAATTTAGCTTAACACTAAACTTGGTGGCAAAGCCACCCACATCTGCTATACTAGTTTATAAATAAGTAATTTCAAATATATTAAACAAAAAAAAAAGATATAATAGTAATTTTAGAAAACATACTTGTAAGATTATTACTGTTTAACTTTATTTATAATGCTGTGTTAATTAAAGAACTTAATGGTCTACTGGTATATATTGCTTATGCAGTTATTTTTTTATTAGACACATGTATTATATTATCAGGGAATTTTATTTCTTCATTCAATTTCTGAATAATACCACGAATAGATATGTAAATATCCCAAGACTTTGGTCTGTTTAATGGATTTGCGTCCCAACATGCTTTCATTAAATCAATATAAGCCTGTAGTAAATCATTAATTAATTCAAAACGAAGACCATTAAGTATATCAAGAATAAGAATTTCATTGTGATCACAATCAGAAAAAGGCTTTTGGCAATAAGAAATTCATTGTGATCACAATCAGAAAAAGGCTTTTGGCCAATTGTCATTTTCCACATAATCATTCCAAAACTGTAAATATCTGATACTGTCATATTTTTCTCTATTAAATATCTTCAGTGCTATATATGGAATCACTCCATATATCTCTTTTGTACTTTTTATCAAATTTGCTGATTTGCTTATTTCAAAATCTCTTATCTTTATATCTCTCACTAATGAATTTGGATCATCAACAAGTATATTGCCACTATAAAGATCTCGATAAATAATTTGTTTTTCATGAATATAATAGAGCCTATTGCTATATTTTGTAACATTTCAAGTTTTTTATTCCAAGATAAATTAAGAAAGTTTATTGAAATATAATTATGTAAATTACTATTTTGTACAAAAGCCATTACAATCATGTAATTTTTTGTTTTCGGATGACGTGTGATATGATTTATATAATCACTACTTTGATTACATTTGGAATATATAATCACTACTTTGATTACATTTGGAATAATTTTGTAACTAAAATAAAAGAAATAAGTTAACTAATATTGTAATAGAATTTAACAAAATAAGTTCTGATAAATGACATATAGTAAATGTAATTGTAACAATGCAAACTTCGTTTAAAAAATCTTGACTTATAACTTCGGAATTGTCAAGGCTTTTGAAAACAACAGTTGAATGTTAGACATTCTAAATGTTTGCGTATAACTATTCCAGTTACTCTTTATATTATTAACACATGTTGCTTTGTATATTTTGCTAAACCCACTTTTAGCAAGATAAGTGATGTCACTAAACTTTTCATATAGGATAAATTCTATAAGTTTAGCACTATAAGTTTGGTTATTTATCTTAGCAAGCCAATTATCTATAACTTTATTACTACTAAATATAATGTTATCACAAAAATTACACTGTTGGGTATTATAATCCTTATGTTGTCTTTTCTTTTTGTACTTTTTATATTTTTATTGCAAGTATTACATTGTTGGGCATTACTATCCT